AATATTCAATAAAGGAAAAATCAGCACAAAATTGGCAAAGTAAGCTATTGGGAGTAGCACCAGAGTTAAAGGCAGTGCCTGAGGCAGAGACTGAAAAAAAAAAAAAAAAACATGCTTCATTCCTTCTTCTGCCACCATGTTGTGTTTTATGCTAAATCTCATTTTTATTCCAACATTTTACTCCTGCCCATGGAAGGTTTTTCTGGGGAGAAAAAAAATGCGGTTTGGTTTCCTTGTCAACGGAGGATGAAGTGAACAGCTGAACAGCTCACAGAGAGCAGGTTCATTCAATATTTTGACCATAGAATCCAATATTGCAAGCCTTGTTGTTAAATGCCATCAAGTCAGATCTGACTCATAGCGACCCTGTATAGGGTTTCCAAGAAGTGGCAGGTTCCGGATGCTAGTTTCCCACACCCACCTGTGAAGTAATCTGCCTTTGGAAGCAAAATATAGAGATTTCTGAATTGATCCAGCTGCAGCAGCCGGTAGCCAGAAGTCCTCAGGCTGGAGGGTGGGGCCACAGTCAAGAGGAGACAGTGACCCACCACTAGAAGCTGTGGAGCTAGGCATCAGGGAGAGGTGTGACTGACTTTTCATCTTTCATTTTTCATGTGTATTTCCTCTTCACTCTGATCACACCCTCACTGCACAGCCCAGACGCCTTCAGGCGGGTGGGAGCACACCCCCCAAAAGGGCCCAGCATTGCACCCACAGTTTTCCAGTGGCACAGAGAGGAAACCCACAGGCTGCTTCTTATGTTCTTATGACGTCTGACTCTGGGACCCAGCCCCAAAGTTGACCTGCGTGGGACCCTTTATCCCTGCCTGCACAGCAAAGGCCAGCAGACAGTGTCAATCACAATTTTATTTTTGTTTTTGGTGGTTTCTGTCTTTGGTCATTTTGGCTTCACTCTTCTCCCAGGGGTTGGAACTTTCTCCCCCTACCTTACCCAAGAAGAGACAGCAACTGTGCCCATATAGGCAAGCTACAAGCATACACTGTAATACCGCACCATCTGGACAAGAGCCAAAACCAGCTGCTAGGCATTACACATGTAAAAGGGAAGCCTATCTCCAGATCATATCCACCAGGAGACGCTCAGCAAGTTTATCAACAAAGCAACATACATCCATTTAAGCATTAAAAACCCACATAACTGCTGAAAATGTCCAAGAAAACACAAATACCTCAACACATGTCCAAAAACATAAAAAAATAACCAAGACAAGTGAACCGGAAGCAGACACAGACTTTCCAGTAGAAGAGCAGGCTCTGGATCTGCCTGAGAAGGAATTCAGAAGAATGATGAAACAAATTCAAATGTTCCAAAAAGGGGTGGAGGAAAATAAGAAAGAAGTCAGGAAAGTGCTGCAGGAGCAACCAAACAAGAGCGATACAGCATTGGGAACAATCCAAAACCTGTAAAAAGAAGTCTGGATGATTAATAATAAAATATCAGAAATGGACAATACACTGAAAGGGCAAA